GAGTCGTCGGTAGTGCGTAGTGAGTGATGAGTATTGAGTACCGAGTAGGAAGTAGGGCATAGTGAGTAGTGAGTAGTGGGTAGTGAGTAGCCGGTGGTAGGTAGTGCGTAGTGGGTCGTGCGTAGAGCGTAGTGAGTCGTGATTAGTGAGTAGCGAGTAGTGAGTAGTTCGTAGTGAGTAGTGAGCAGTGAATAGTGAGTAATGAGTAGTGCGTAGTGGGTATTGCGTACTCAGCAGAGTGTCGCGTGTAGTGGGTAGTGCGTAGTCAGCAGTGAATAGTGAGGAGTGAGTAGTGAGTAGTGAGTGGTGAGTGATGGGTAGTGGGTAGTGGGTAGTGGGTAGTGGGTAGTGAGTAGCGAGTAGGGAGTAGTGAGGAGAACGTATTGGGAAGCGAAGAGTGAGTAGTGAGTAGGGAGTAGGCAGTGGTGAGTGCTGAGTAGTGTTAGTGAGTAGGGAGCAGCGAGTAGTGAGTAGTGAGTAGTTATGAGTGACTCGTGCGTAGGGAGTAGTGATTCGTGTGTGATGGGATGCGAAAAGTAGTTAGTGAGTAGTGGGTACTGAGGAGTGAGTAGTGAGTAGTGAGTGGTGAGTAGTGGGTAGTGAGCGGTGAGTAGTGTGTAGTGAATAGTGACTAGTGCATGCGGAGTAGCGAATGGCGATTTAGTGGGTATTGAGTAGGGAGTAGCCAGTAGTGAGTAGCGTGTGGTGACTAGGGAGGAGGGAGTAGTGAGTCGTGGGTAGTGAGTAAGCGGTGGTGAGTAGTGAGTAGTTGGTAGTGGGTAGTGCGTACTGGGTACTGAGTTGTGAGTAGCGATTTGTGAGCAGTGAGTAGTGCGCAGTGAGTAGCGCGTATTATTGAATAGTGAGTAGTGAGTAGTGAATATTGAGTAGCGAGTACCGAATAGGGAGTTTCGAGTAGTGCGTATTGAGCAGTGAGTAGTGTAAGGAGGAGCGAGTAGAGAGTAGTGAGTGGTGAGTACGGAGTAATGAGTAGTGAGTAGCGAGTAGTGAGTAGGGAGCAGTAGTGTCTAGTTGATAGTGTTTAGTGAGTAGTGAATAGTGACTAGTGAGCAGTGGACAGTGAGTAGTGCGTAGTGATTGGTGAGCACTGAGTAGCGGGTACAGAATAGTGTGTAGGGAGTAGGGAGTAGTGACTAGGAACCAGTGAGTAGTGAACAGTGTGTACGGGGTAGTGAGTAGTAAGTATCGAGTACTGTTTGGGGTTAGGGTTAGGGGTTGAGTTTAGGGTGGGGTTAGGGTGAGGATTCGGGTGAGGGTTGGTGGGGGGGGGCGGGTTCTGGTGTCGGGGGGCGGCGTGGCGAAAGGGGGGGGAGGGGGGGGTCGAATTTCGAGCCCAATGGGGGGGACGGGGTTCGGAACCCCCCTTCCCCTTTTGAAGGGGCGCGGGGGCTTCCCCGACGACGGAAAGGGGTGGTGGGGGATTTCCCGACGACGGACCGGGAAAAGGGGAAGGGAGGGGGGGGGGTCCCGACGACGGACCGGGGAAAGGGGGTGGGGGAGGGGTTCCCAATCCCCTGCCCCCTTCGGGGACATTCAGTGGCGCGCCCTCCACGATCGGGGTTCCGTCGGTTCCAGACCAGGGTTCCTTAGTTATCCAAGCAGAGGTGACGAAAGGGGCGAACAGCCCAGGGGAGAGCAATACATGTATTCAGGTGCGCCGATGATCCATGTTCTCGAAGAGGCTCTCGGGCGAATGCGTGTAATGCCCGCCCCTGGGTTATTCGCCCCTGTCGTCGCCGCCGATCCATTTTTTTTAGCAATGCCCTCACCGTGCGGAGTCCCTGGGAATTCCGACCCCTTACCCAGGGCCGGTTATTCATCGCAAGTTGTTCCCGACGCCCGGGGATTCGGCGAGCGCCCCCAGAGGCCGAACATCGAGAAAATTTCCGTCCCGATTTGTCCAAGGACGTGCATGTCCAGGGGCGTTAGATGGAGACAAAAATGAGCTCTCTGCCCAGATCCCCGACGCCATTATTTTTGATCATGTCGTTGACCCTCAGTGATCTGGACATGTCTGGACCCATTCCCTATGACTCTTTGTTCGTCCTGAGTAGTTTTTGTACGGTCCCGCTTTTTTTTCGGTCCCAGGAATGTCCGTATCCACCGCGTCTTGCAATTTCTGGGAAAGGGGCGCCAAATTGCCGAGCCGGATCGACATCTGGCCTCGTTGGGGGCGATCTGTTTTTTCCACGTATCTTGAGCTTGTGGTTTTTGGGGACGGGAGCTCGAAACTCCAGGACGCAGTGGATACAGTCAAATCGCATAGCTTGTACGGTAGAGGGAAACAATGTCTGAACTTTCCCCTTCCCCCCAAAACTCAATGTTGGCACGCGTGGGGGAGACTGCGGTCGAAGTGCACGTCATCAGACCCACCGCCAACTTTGAACATTGGGGGGAGAGGGAAGCGTTGACAGATGAATGTGGCATGTGTTCGCTAATTTGTTCCGAGGCCTGTATGAGCAACTTTCCAAGGTTACCCCTGCATCCCTGCCCCTGCGGCCCGTCCTCTGCCCATTTCGCTGGCCAGTCGATAACGCCAACATGACTTTCCAAGGCCCTTGCATCCTTACCGCGCATCCTTAGTAAGCGTCTTGGCTGTCCCTGAGATCCGATGTGACAAACATGCAACATCGCGACAACACCACGACTGGAGCCCTTGACCCCATCTTGCTGCGCCATTTTTCCAGCCGGATCGATATGTGAGGGCCACGGTGCCCGAAGCGGGGCGCAACCGCCGGGTGGGAAAATTTGCTCTGCCCAGAGCTGAGGGGTATAGGGATGCTCGCTCGGGGCTCAAGAGACGGGGGTCGACGCAGGATCCTGCAGGGCCAGGGGTGCAGGCTCCTGCCAGATCTTCTGCAGGATGTATACATATATATATATATATATGTATGTCTAGATATGTATGTATGTATGTATGTATATATATATATATACATACACAGGATTTGAGGGCTCGCTTCGCTTCGCCTCAATCTTGGTCCTGTGGCCATGCGCACCCAAACACTCGGTGAATGGATGACGTCTGCAAGCACACGATGACCGTGAGAGGGGTGGCGGTCCGTCATAATTCCCGGACGGGTCATAAGCATTCCTGTGTTTGGGAGACGGCGACATACCGCGACGAGGCCATGGTCACCGATGAGGGGTTCGAGGAAACGGTGACCACGAGGGGGGTCGCGGTCACCTCCGCAAAGACGCACCCGAAATTTGTCTCTGGACGTCGCCCGGGCCAAACAGACTGCATGTTGCATTTATGGTCGTCGCGCTTCTCTAGGGAATCAGTAGCCCTCTGAGACGGCAGAGCATTGCAGTGAGACGATCGGGAAAGAAGAGGAGGAAATGATATGAAGGGAAGAAGAGGAGAGGAGGGCGAGGAAAAAGGGAGAGAGACGGTCGGGGAAGGTGAGGAGGAAAGGAGGAGGGAGAGAGAGAGGAGAGGACAGGGGGAGGAGGATGACACGAGGAGGGCGAGATAGGACGAGGAGGGAGTCAGAACAGGAGGAAGAGGAAAAGGATAAACTGGGAAAGGAACGAGGGAACGCGTGGGGGGGTGCGATGTGCGAAACTGTCGCTACCTTCGTGGGCCGCTGGCGGGTCCAGCGGAGAGGCGTGATCCGCGGACCAGAATGAGGCCTCGCCGTCCCGGGGGGCTTCGAACAGCGAACTTGTCGCCACGTTCGTGGCCCCCTCGTCATTGCTCCTTTGTCAGATCGTGATCGCCCTCTTTCCGATGATATGAGTCGCAAGAGTGATGCCGTGAATGGGGAACACTGGTCTGCGGCCTCACGTTCTTTGGCGAAACGTTCAAGGATACTGCCAATCCTTCAAGGCGTAAGTTGGAAATGAACGGTCCTGGGTATAGTCGCCGCTTGTGTACAAAGGGTTGGGTGCGTCTCCGGGTCAGTTGTTTCTGGAGGGTCTTTTGGGAACCCCGGGGAAACTATCCCCGGGCGTTTCTGGGATCTGTTGGGCCTCGATTGGGGCGCCTTCAGCTCGAAGACGGCCCAAAGGCGCGTCAGGAAACCCATTCGTTGCCTCTCCTTGTCAGAAGCCTCGCGATCGCCAGGAGTGGCTCGGGGCGTCCGGGGAGGGGACTATTGGAAGTTTTTTGGTCGTCCTGGGGGCCTCATGGGAGCTTTTGGGGGGCCGCCTGGGGGCCTCTTGGGGGCCGCGTAAGGGCCTGTTGGGGCCCCGTGGGGCCTCTTGGGGGCCTCTGGGGGCATCCTATGGGCCTCTTGAAGTCGAAGGCTTGGAATTTGAGCTCGGTTTTCGTTTTCTGGGGCGCCTGTGCGGCCCGTCCAGATGGTCTCTTGGACTGTCTTGGGAGCCCTTGGGGCACTCTTGGGCTCTCTTTGGGCGTCTTGGGGCCTTTTTGGGAGCCTCTTGGGCCGTCTTGGGAGTCTCTTGGGCCGACTTGGACGTTATGAAAGGCCTAGAGGCGAATATGTTGGTAATATATTTTTTACGATGGGAATGGGGCTATTTTGGCCTCGCGTGGCGCTTTTGGGGGGCCTCTTGGGTGCCTCTTGGGCCGTCTTGGGTCGCCTCGGGGCGGTCGCGGTGTCATCTGAGGCATCTTGGGCCGGTGTCCTCGGGCGTCTTGGGCCGCTGGGGGGCCAGTATGAGCGTTTCGCGCGTCGTTCGGTGACCTGGAGGGCTTGGAAGTCCGCTGGAAAGGGGCCCGGGGGCCAAGGGCGGCCGCCCAAAAAGGTATGTGGGGGGGGGGTGTGGGCCATCCGGGGGGGATTTTTCCTTACAGGATGTATAATTATAGGATATATACGTATTACACACATACACACATATATATTATATATTATATATATATATATATATATATATATATATATATGTATATGTATATATATATATATATAATATATACTGCACGGCCTGAGTGGCCCGGGTCTGGATTGAGCCGGGTCAGAGAGGGCCACGATGCACATTCTGCCCGCTCTGGTGCCCCCCCGCCAGAGGAGCAGCGCCGCCCTGGGGGCCCAGCGCCTGCGCGCGCCCAGCCGCGCCCCGCCCGCGCCCAGTGCCCCGCCCGCGGCTGCCGAGCAGGGGCTGCGCGCAGGCGCAGCCGCGGTCTCGCCGGGGGGTAGAACGGCTTCCTTGCGCGGGGATGCGTGGCAATGGGGAAGTCGCCTCCCTGCAAGGGGAGGAGGAGGAGGAGGAGGAGGAGGAGGAGGAGGAGGAGGAGGAGGAGGAGGAGGAGGAGGAAGAGGAGGAGGAGGAGGAGGAGGCGGAGGCGGAGGCGGAGGATGGGGAGGGGGAGGGGGAGGGGGAGGGGAGCGAGGGGAATGGGGGAGGGGGAGGGGGAGGATGACAAGCTAGGTGCGATCGCGTCATACCCGACATCCTACCCCTCCGTCCCATCCCTTACCATGGCGCAGATCCCCTCTCTACTCGCACAGTCGGATGTCGAGCAGGGCAATGATCCCGAACGGGTACGCGATGCATTGTAGAGCACGGCGTGGCATGGCGTAGAAGAGCACCGAAGCGTAGTATCAACCTAGCGTTGCAGTGCATGCCGTGGCATGGCGCGGGAAATGACGCCAGCGCTGCAGCGGGAGCACGACTCGAAACGAGCGGAAGCGCGGAAATGAGGCCAGCGCTGCAGCGGGAGCGCGATTCGGAACGAGCGGAAGCATCGCCGGAATCGGCCAGGGAGGCTTCCCGGGCGCCAGAATCATAAATGCAGCAGTTTCAAAAGAAAAATGTGTATTGGAATGGCCTTTTTTCGGCGCCGCCTCGGAACTCGATTTTCTAGCGCCGACCGGAATCGGCTCCAGACCGGGCCGGCGCCGGCCCGGGCGCCGGCTCGGGCGTCCGGCCTTGGCACGTGCCAAGGCCGGACGCCCGAGCGCCGGCCTGGGCGTCGGAATCGGCCTGGGAGGCCTCCCGGGCGCCAGAAGCAGAAATTCAGTTTTTTCAGCAGAAAAATTGTGTATTGGAATGGCCTTTTTGCGGCGCCGCTTCGGAACTCGATTTTCCGGCGCCGGCCGGAACCGGCTCGAGCCGGACCCTGCCCGAGCGCCGGCCCGGGCGCCGGCTCGGGCATGCAGCCCGGGCGCCGGCGGAAATGAGGCCAGCGCTGCAGCGGGGGCGCGATTCGGAACGAGCGGGGCCCAAAAATGAGGCCGGCGCCTCAGCGAGAGCAGCATTTTGGAAAAAATGCATGCGCAAAACCGAATTCCGGGGAAACCTGTGTGTAAAAAGCAGTACGCGGGGGGGTCGAGTACTCCCAAGCCGTCATCAGGGGAAGAGGGAAAGTAGTATTCAGATTGAGTAATTGTGGAAGGAGGAAGAGGAGGAGGAGGAGGAGGAGGAGGAGGAGGAGGAGGAGGAGGAGGAGGAGGAGGAGGAGGACGAGAGGACGACGAGGACGAGGACGAGGACGAGGAGGAGGAGGAGGAGGAGGAGGAGGAGGAAGAGGAGGAGGAGGACGAGGAGGAGGAAGGAGGAATAGGAGGAGGAGGAGGAGGAGGAGGAGGAGGAGGAGGAGGAGGAGGAGGAGGAGGAGGAGGAGGAGGAGGAGTAGGAGGGAGGGGGGAGGACGGAGGGCGGACGGAGAGACTTCTCGAGGCAAGCGGGAGCCCCACCAGCGCGGGGGAAGAAAATCCTCACCAGGATGTCGAGAACAGCTTGCACTACCGCAGAACAGCGCCACCAGAGCCCCGGGGACCCCATCTCTCTCCCTGCATTCTGTCTCGCGCGGGGGGTCGACCTGCGAGGGGGCCCTGGGGCCCGAAGCGGATGGCGGAGGCGCGGGTTATAAAAACATTGCAACGCCAGGGTCTGAGTCCCCCGACGTCGTGATTTCTGCATTCAGTCGGGCACATCCCTCTCTACAGGAGGAATCTTCAAAAATGGTCAAGACATGTCATGGGGACGATTTGTTGGGACTCTTTTGGGCCTTTAGGGGGACATGCCCGACCTGATCTTTGTATGACGTGGCCCCTAGAGGACTGGACCCTTTCCCAGGACCCGATCTCCATCCTGAAGCGTTTTTGTTGACGGCCCCGAGGCCCGGTGAGGGCCCCCAGGCGCGGAAAATAGCGTAGAGCCTCCCGACGTGATTGTCTGGCGACTCTTGAGGGGGTCTGGGAAATCGAGGGGCGTCGGCCAGGCCCAGACGCGCTGCAGAAAAGTCGCCGCGGGAGGCCTTTCGTGGCCTTGGTATCGCTCGGACGTGTGCACGATTTCTCGGCGGGGATTACCGAGGAGCATCTTGGCTCATCCTGCGAAAAAAAACCACGCGCGCAACCGAACAAAAGTACAGGGAATTGGACGTCGGAGCGATGGCCATGGCCAGTGGCCGCCTGCAGCCGCTGGCGGGAGGCCCGCCGCCGCGGGGCGCCGCGCCGCGAGAGGCGGGGGCCTCGTGCACGCCGCCTGGCCAGCCAGGCGGCGTTGGCCCAGACGTGCTCGCGCCGCGGCAGAGCGCGCGACGGCGGGCTTTTCAGCCGTTTCGGGTGCAGCGACAGGGGGATTAGGCTTAGGTCGGGCCTGCCCCTCTACAGGGGGAATATTCAAGAATGGTCAAAAACATAGTATGGGGACTTTTTTCATACCATTTTGGGCTTGGGCACTTTTTGCCTATTGCTTATTTCCTTTCAAAATCCCCCTGTAGGAGGACAGGCCCGACTTAAGATTAGGCATAGGTCGAGTAGGGGATCGGCTGCGGAGTTGACTTACCTTACAATTGCTTTCCCATCGAATCTACGACGAAAGCCCAGGATGCGCATCAATCGACGGAGATTTCTGCATATTTGTTCTGAGATTCGACGAGGAAACTAATGTTGGGGTAACTCAATTATGCAGTCGATCCCCTAATCGGATAGGGGGCGGAGGGACAAAGTTTCGAGGCTCGAGGTTTTCGGGTGCTTTCGTTGGTGCTCGGCAGCTCTCCAGCCCCAGGGTGCCTTCCAGCGGCTGCGCCTCGCCGACGCCGCTCCGGCGGTGCGCGGATCGTCCCGGACGACTGCGTAGGGCGTAGGGGGACGCATCGACCCCCAATCGCCCAGTGATCGCCGACAGGGGGCCCGACAGTCCCACCGCCCAGGAACGTGGGGATCTGCTATCGGGGGCCTATCGCCGATCTATCGGCGATGTATCGCCGATTCCAGGTCGACGTTCCCCTTCTGGTGCCGGTTCTCCCCTATCGTTGCCCCTCACGTTTGCGGCCGCCAGGGGCCCCCACCTGGGGCTTCCGCCGGGCCCCAGGACCGTCCAAGAACGGATCGGAACGACACACCAGCCCTGGGGAGAAGATCTGGACACAAAATCACGACATGGGGTTTGGGAGCAACCCCAGGCAGCAAATCTAGAAGATCAAACAGCAGCATGAACATAATTCCTCGGAGGTCCTCGCTGATTTCTTGGATCGGCGCTGGAACCCCCTGGCGGCGCCTCCGGCGCCGCCCCTGGCTTGCACCGTGCACCAGGGAGGGGGGTCCAGCGCCGATCCAAGAAATCTGGGCGGTTTCCAGAGAAATTCTGTCTGCGCAGTTTTTTGTTCTTCTACCATCGGCCGCCGCCGCAGCTCATCGGGGCCGACTACCCCGCGGTCGCAGAGGACGATGACCCGAGGAGTCAGAGCAGGGACAGCGTGGCCAGCAGCGCCTCGGCGATCAGCAGCTTTTTCGGCAATGGGTACTCTGGCCGGAGCAACAGGAAGGTATCATGCAGTCACCCCATCTTGCAGACGGTGGAGCGGTTCGTGAGATCCATTTGGATGGAGGGCATCACCGCTCTTCTCATAGCGGTCAATACGACGTTCATGATCATCGAGGGGCAGTATTTGGGTGCGGAGATCGGCAGTGAGATCGGAGTATATTCCTATTATGGGTCTGACAGGTTTTCTGAAGAAGGAGTCGTGCTGACCTCTGACATGTTCGGCACCATTGAGGTCGTCTTCTGCGTACTGTTCACGATCGAGCTGGTTGTGAGGCTCACCTTCCTGCGTCTCGACTTCCTGCGTGATCCATGGGGCTGGCTCGACACGGTAATCGTGCTTACCACCGATGCCACGGCTTTCTTCCCTGACCTCCTGGGGCAGGCGATGCCAGTCATGACCCTCCGCGTCACGCGACTGGCCCGGCTGCTGCGGATCATGAGGCTGGCGCGCTCGATCACGGCGTTCGACTCGCTCTATCTGCTGACGACAGCTCTCCGTGGGAGGGCCGCAGCGGGGATGGGAGGGGGACCGGTTGGGAGGGCCGACTCAGACTACATTTATGTCGGGCGTGTCCCCCTACGGGGGGATTTCCGACGAAAAATAAAAAAATGCCCCAAAAATGCACCAAAAAGGTCAAACAATACTCAAAAAATAGTCCCCAGACTATTTTTGGGATTATTTTTTGATTATTTTTGGGGTATTTTTCATTGTTCGTCGAAAATGCCGTTGTAGGGGGACAGGCCCGACATAAGACTACATGCAATTCTTCCTTCAGTATCCGTATATTGGCACTGGCGTGCTGGTCGGCGGTCAGTGGTTCGCCTTCCCTTTTCTTTTCGGGGGCGGGCCAGCGCCAATCATCGCCAGTCTGTTTCGGCCGCCTTCTTACCCCATGTCTCCACGCACGAGACCGTTTTTCATCCCCTGACTATAACGGGCGCGACGGCGGGGGGGAGAGGGGGGCAGGGGGCCAGTCGCGTCACGATTCACGCCGGCGCCGTCTGGGAATGCCCAGGAGCGGCTCCCCTGAGATCATGGCGCTGTAACTGCTGCACAGCGGGCGTGCTCGCCCTGTCTGGGGCCCGGGGACCCTCACTCAGATCGACACAGTTGGAAAATGGAGCAGAACGGTGGGGCCCGTGGCGCCAGTGGTGGCGTGCCGCGATGCCGCGTTTTTCTGGCACCCGCAGATCAGAGGGTCATTCCCAGGGGGCGCTGGCGCGAGTCGTGACGTGACCGGGAGGGTGGGAGGGGGGATGGGGCGGGGCCGATCGCGGGCGCCATCGCGGGTCGTTCAAGACATTGCTCCTGCCCCATGTCCCCGCGCACTCTGGAGAGGCGCGTCCTGGAGTCTGGGCGGGAGGCAGGAGGGAGGCCCAGTAGTGCGTGGGAGTGGGCCCGCCCGCCTCCTTTGGGGCTGGGACGGGGTAACATCTGCCAATCTCTTTCTTTTTGTTCCCTCTCTCTCTCTCTCTCTCTCTCTTAGTTCTCATATGCCAGAAACTCGGCCCCGGGAGCTTCGGGGGCCAAAATCCACCAGGGGCACCCGGGGTACACTGAGGGCCCCATCCCCTCCCAGAGTTTCCGTGGGGCGTCCCCCGAGCTTGCCCGGAGCCTTCCCCGAAGCCCCCAGACTTCCCACGGGGCACTTCCTTGCGAGTCGGAGACTTGGGCGGGCGCGGTATCATGGCAACGTCGACTACGGTAGTTGCGATGATGGGACTAGCGACGTTTTTGACGATGTTGACAACGACGACAGCAAGTGACGGCGCCGATGCTGATCGCGCCGACGGCGATGACGGCGCCCTCGCGTCGGTGATGAAATTGTTGGAGGGAGTTCGACATCCGCGCACGGTCGACGCGCGAGAACGGTGACCATTTTATTTGTTTGACACGGATCGTTCTCCCTCAGCACGCGCGCAATGGCGCTCGGATGAGCATGCGGCGCGACAGGCCCCGTTTGGCAGATTTTGATGACAATGTTGAAGAGCCGATTGGTTGCTTTAGATTGTTCAGGAGGGCGAGCGCAGGCATACTTGAAAACTGTTGTTGCAAAACCAGTTGTTTCTCTGTCAAAAAATCTGGACAATCGATATTGAAATCCCACCCACGCCCTGAGTGTTTCAAATGATTTCGGCACGCGCGCGTGCGCACATCGCCCCATGTTTTGAAAACGTAGATTATTGCGACAGCACGTCCGCAAGGTGCGTTCGAGCGATTCCGACATGCGCCTGCGAGAGGCCCGTTTGTTAGCACGTGGTGAAAATTTCAAGCAAGAAGAGATAGGTCTTCTCTATTCTGAGAATTCGATTGAACCCGATCGCAAGCTGTTTTTGAGATTTGTTTGCGAAAACATGTATTTGTGTTTTCGGGACAGTCGATCTTGAAACCTTTCGACACCCAAGGTTTTTGAAGGATTGCGGCATGCGCGCGTGACGACGCGCGCTTGTACACTTCGTCCCGTTTTTTGATAAGCGAGAGCGCGCGCATAGTTTTTTGGCAAGGGATTAGAGGGGGTACCGATACGGGTCTGCTTGGGATAGTATGGGTTCATTTTTAGGATGGGCGAGGGGGAAGTATCACATGTAAAATGCAATACGGAAAAGGGGAGTCGTTAGTTCTGCGGGGGACCCACAACTTTTGCTCGAACGGACAACCTGGCCGGTGCGCAACAAATGTTGTGCAATCCGTGTGGTGTGCAGTCTGTGTGGTCGGCCAATGGGGAGGCGACGGCGGCCCCATAGCCGCCAGAGCGGCAGACACGCCCAGACGACGGGCGATGACGAGGCGCCGACGGGGCGGCGACGGCGGCCACATAATTAGCCGCCAGAGCGGCAGACAGGCCCAGTTCCTTCGACGAGAAGTTAGAACCCCTAAGTGCAAACAGTGTTTTGGTAGTGCGTGTATACATTCAAGTATGTATGCATACATGTGCGCCCATAAGCATCACTAGAAAAACCAACATATCGTCCCATAGCGTCCCAAAACGCTTTCAGAGCGTTCCAGAACACTGACACGATGGGGAACTTTCGGATCACGTGTCGCCCTGCCAGCTCTAGCCCATCACTCGGGCCGGGCGAAAGGGGGGGATTGGGAAAGGGGGGGTTACGAAATTTGCTGCCTGCAGCTAGTTTCGGCCTCACCGAGGGGCCCATTCCTCGATACATGGCCGCCTCCGGCGCCAGGAGGCGCCGGGAAAATCAGCTACGTGAGCTGATTCTCAACCCCCCCCTTTGCTATCCCCCCCTTTCGCCCGACCCGAATCACGCATTGGCGCTACATGCTATCCGCTTCCCAGTCTCCAGGCTCCAACGTCCCGAGCCTTTCCGACCTTCCCGCCGCTCGGAGCGGAGCGACGCGCTGCCCGCTTGCAGGGCACAGCGCGTCGCCAGGGCTGCCTCGGTGACGCGCGAAGCACAAGTTCCCGACCGCACATCCCCCGGAGCCGCTGGATCTCAGATATTCCCGCTCGATCCGTGTCTGAATGTGTCTCTGCCTTGTTTTTGTCTTGCGCTTCTCCCTGCCGCCACTCAGGAGCCTGGCTCCACCCCCCCAGGTGGGAGCATATATACACTGGTGTGGGTCATCGCTTTCCTGTTCATCACTTAGACACTCTTTGCCCTCCTGCTCACGAGCATTGTTCGGGACTTCTACCTGGCACCCTCTGGCGACGGAGATGATTTTTTCCAGAACGCTCTCGAAAAGGAGCAAATCTATTTGTATTTTGGCACCTATTGGAGATCAATGGTGTCTCTGTTCGAGCTGATGCTGGCCAACTGGCCTCCGATCTGCCGGATGATGATGGAAACTATGCATGAGTTCTGGTCGGTCTTTGCATTGGGCTACAAATTGTTTATGGGCGTCGCTGTGATCGGCGTGATCATGGGCGTGTTCACTCAGGAGACGTTTCGGGCTGCTGATACCGATGACCAGATCATGATGAGGAGGAAGGCGTTCCAAGCAAGAACGCAACGTCTAAAGATGAAGAAACTGTTTGAGGGGATGATCAGCTACAACGAGAATGTGGACGTGACGATGTTCGACAGATTCTTGAAAACTCCAGACATACGGTTCTGGATGCAAGCGCAAGACTACGACGTAAATGATGCGAGTTTGCTTTTCTATTTAATCGATAAGGACGGCGACGGTACCCTCACAGTCGACGAGCTCATCGATGGGATGGCAGCATTGAAGGGCGCTGCCCGTAATCTCGATGTCAAGGTTCTGATGCGGCAAAGCCGCTTCGGCGCCTTGCAGGGGCAGCTAAAGCGCAGCAATTCCAGAATGTCGGCCAGGGACTCCCTCAGGGTAGTCCAGTCAAGCTTCGACTAGCACACGTCATCTCTTCCAGGTGTGCTGTTCCAGATGCGCTGATGTGCAGTCGCACGGAGCTTCTCTGCTGCCACCACCGCCAGCTTGAATGGGGGCGCCTCAGAGTGCATCCGCAGGTCTCGAACACTCAGGCCCAACGCGCCACCCTGCGGCCTGCGTCTGCTGCATTCCAGAAAGCACGTCGACGTCAATCGTATGTTAGATCTCGCTTCCAGCTGAACGCTCTTCCCACGCGCTTCCTTCCCCACCATTTCCGCCTTACCGTACCGTACCCCTTTCACCGCTCCGTCTATGCCCTCCAACCCGTCCTCTCCTTCCCTCTTTCCCACTCCCTCCCCGCCAACCGCCCCTCTCTCTCGTGATTCCCCATCCATCCTACAACCTCTTCGTTCCTCTCTCCGCATTGCCATCCCCGTCACCTTCCGCTTCCTTCCTCCTCTCCGTACCACATCCCCTGACCCCAGTCTCCATGCCATGTCCCTCCTCCGCCTCCACCCCCCCCCTCCAGTCCCACTCGCCCGTCCGATGTCTGCCGGGGCGAAGCGGTGAGCTGTTTGCGACGCATCTGCTACAATTGACCTTTGCGCCATCAAGCCGTCAGTCATGTCAGTGTCACCCTCATGCCTCCGCCAGCTTGCTCGCCCGCTCCCACCCTGAGAAGGAGAAAGCCGCCGCCGGGGCCACACAGGCAGGTGATGCAGAACATAGGGGACATCGAGTACGTGACGCACATGAAG